TGTCTTTTGAGAGGATTAGATGTTGACTTAGCAGTCAAAAATTTCAAAGCAACTATTATAAATATGTTCACACACACGAACATAATCCTTCTTCTCAAGAGCACATGGAGCATTTTCCAAGATAGGCCATATGTTAGGCCATTTTTAAAAACCCTCAATAGTTTTTTAAAGGATATAAATCATCTAGTGTATGTTCTCCAATCACAATTCAATATAAGTAGTAATTAATAAAGTAAACATGGAAAATTCACAAATATGCATAAACTAAAATATGGGTTAACGAAGAAATCACCAAGAAAACTAGAAAATACTGTGAGATGAACACAAATGTGTAACACTGTGAAACTAATGGAATTGGGTAAACGTAGTATTTACAGGGAAATTTACAGCTTCACTAAAAAGGAAAAAGGTCTCCAATTAGTAGCATTCAAATCCCTCATAGGAAACTGGACAAAGAAGAGCAAACTAAACCTAAAGAAAGCAAAAGGAAGGAAAGAATAAAGATTAGGATGGAAATAAATGAGGTAAAGAATAGAAAATAATAGAGAAAAGTCAATATAACAAAAAGTTGGTTCTTTGAAAAAGTTCAATAAAATTGACAAACCTTAATGAGACTAAGAAAGCAAAATAGAAGACTCAACTAAAACTAGGAATGAAAAAGGGGACATCAACTACCAAACTTAAAGAAGTTTTATAATATGTATATAATGGAATACTACAAACATCTTTAGGTCAACAAATTAGATAAGTAGATGAAGTAGATCAATTCTAAGGAAGGTATAAACTCAATATTACTAGGTTATGAACTACTCAAGAAGAAGTGGAAAATATGAATGGAATTATATAGCAAGAAAGAAGAGTGAATTTGTAATTTTAAAACTTCCTACAAAAAACCCCAGACTTAGATGGTTTCAATGATGAATTGCCAAACACTGGAAAAGAATTAAAATCAATACTTAACAAATGCCTCCAAAAAAACAGAAGAGGGAAGAATACTTCCCCAAATCATCCTATGATACTAATTCTACAATGATGCTAAAGACATCACAAGAAAAACCCAATATCCCATATGAATATAGATGTAAATAAATTGTCAAAAAATTAGCAAACTGAATTAGAAACATATAAGTGATTATATGACCAAGTAGGATTTATCCCAGGAATGTAAAATTGGTTTAACATGTGAAATCAATCAATGTAAAATGCATATTAATAGAATTAAAAATTCCACATAATCATCTTAACAGATACATAAAATAAAAAGCATTCAACAAAATCCAACACTTTTTCCATGATAAAAACAATGAATAAAACAGGCACAGAGGAAAGTTAATCTGATAAAGGGCATCTACAGACAGCTAGTGTCATACTTAATGATGAAATTCTGAATGCTTCCCTCTAATAACAGGAAAAATAAAGGATGTCTACTTTCATCACTTTTAGTCAACAGTGTACTAGGAGTTCAAGAAAAAGAAACAAAAGGCAGATAGATTGGAAAGAAGCAAGATTATCTTTTACAGATAATGTGTCTTGTATACAGAAAATTCTAAGGAATCCACCAAAACCATTAGAATGAATAAGTTTATCAAATTTCACAATATGAGATCAGTATATGTCAATTCTATTTCTATATTCCAACAATGAACAATCTACAATGAAATTAAGCATAAACGAAAAAGAAAAAATAGATATATTGGATTTCAACAAAATGAAATGATTTTGTGTTGCAAAGACAACATCAAGAAGGAAAAATTAAGCCACAGAATGGGAGAGAATATTTACAAATAACATACCTGGTGATGAATTTATATACAGAATATTTTTTTAAAACTTATAATAATAAAAAAGTAAATAATTCAATTTTTCAAATGGGCAGAGGATCTGATGAGACATTTTTTGGAAGATACACAAATGAGCAAGAAGCACATGAAAAGATGTGTGACATCATTATTCAATAAATTCCCAAACCACATCAAATCAAAGTCCTTCTCACACTCACTAGTGTGGCTATATAAACAAAAGCATAAATAATAACAATTCTTAGTGAGGATGTGGAGAGTAGGAACCTTTATACGTTGGAGGTTAAAATGTAAAATGGTGCAATCTCTTGGGAAAACAGTTTGGAAGTTTCTCAAAATGTTAGAATTATCTTATGATCCAGTAAATCCTCTTGTAGATAAACACTCAAGAGAAATGAAAACATATATCCATATAAAAACTTGTGAGTGTTCAAAGCAGCACTGGTCTTAGTAGTCAAAAAGTAAAAACAACCAAAAATTTCCACTACTGATGAATGAATAAACAAAATATATTATCCATACAATGGGATATTATTCAGTATTAATAGAAATGAAGGGTTGATTATTTCCTACAATGAGGGTGCAACTAAAAACACTGGGCTCAGTGAAGAAGGCTGATACAAAGATCCCATATTATATGGCCCCACTTTTATAAGCTGTCCAGAATAGGCAAATCCATAAAGACAGAAAGGAAATTAGTGTTTGCCTAAGGTTAATTAAGAGATCAGGGGGTGAGAAGAGGATGGCGGGGTGACTGATAATAGGTAGATGTCTTAAAATTCAATTGTGATTGAATTTTATGAATTTTGTGAATATACCAAAGCACATTGAATTGTATACTTTAAATGAGTAAATTACAGGATATGTGACTTCTATCTCAATAAAGCTGTTAATATAGTGATGAATTCATAGAGAATGATACTTTTGTCTGCACACTGTAAGGGACATCTCCGCTGCATCTTCGTTGCCACCTGGGTGAACACTGATTACCTACCTGCTCCCACTCACGCTTTGTTAACTGTTCAGAAAGGCATCCATTCGTTCTGATTCCATAGCCAACAGTGGTTGTACCCATTTTGTTTATCGTTAGGTCAACAAGATCTTCATCTAACATAACTGGTGGCATCAGTACAGATTTCATCTAAAAAAAAAAACCAAATTTATGCTTTAACCAAATCCTCTGCCTAGTTTCCTTCAGGACCAGTTAGTATTATGTCTGCATCGTTGTGCCCCAACGCAATGAAAAACATTTGGTCACCTTACCCAACTCACCCACCTCCTTCATTTCATTGATCCAGTGATCTCTTTTAAGTGGGTCTATTAAATTCTGATTGAACATTTTTCAACTAAGGACAATATCCTACAAGGAACATATCGCCCAGTCACGCAGCCAGGAAGTGGTAGAAGTGTTCACGTTTGATGAACTGAGTTTCAGTTTGGGAAGATGAGAAGCTGCGGAGATGGCGGCTGTGATGGTGGTGACAGCTCACACGATGCGCACTGTTATGCCACTAAGCTGTACACTTAGAATGGTTAAGGTAGTACATAGTATGCGTGTTTTACTATAATATTAGTCTAATTTTTAAAAATCAGGGTTTTTTTGCTTTAGAAATTATACAAAATGCCAACATTTCCTCATTTTCCCACATTCACCGTGAGTTGAAAAAAAAGTTTTCTTCAGATAGGCTTCCCAATTAGCTCTTTATTACACAAGTTAAGATTTTCTTATATTGGTCTTTTCAAAGTTACAATAACCACTAAAACACAAATCAAAAATAATTAATGGAAAAGAGGATCATGTCCTAGTACAAGTCTGAGATTAAATTCATACAAAGGTTGATTCTTACTTTGTGCCTTTCTACCCGGTTGAGTAAATTCAAATCTGTGGACTCTGATATTCCGCCATGTATGACCAGGATCTCATTGTCAATGATTGTACCAATTGGGAGCCAGGTATAGACGTCTTCCAAGACTTGTAAGATTTTTTTCCCATGTATCTGGAAGTAAGGATTTGTGTAAGTTTTGTTTATCTGCGAGCATCAAGTTTATTGAATAGATAGACTCAGTGTATAGACAAAAGCCAGTTTTCATGCCAGTTTCTATGTGAGGATGGAGTGGCTAACCAACCGGGATCCACTGAGCCTGTCTTTTCATTTGGTGTTTTGGATACTTTGACATCTTGGTGTCTGGCTGGCATCCTGAGGAGAGGCTGCCCCTTCTAGGGCTACTTAATTCCTAAGGATAGTAAATAACTCTCCTTTCATATGAAAATAAGAGCGACATTCCTATGCAAAGCATCTAATGCAGAGTCCACCTCCTTTACAGGGTGCTCACTCTCTAGGACAATATTCGCTTGCGCTGATCACCTCACAGCCAGGTTATCAGGACAGCCCCTATGTCCCAGGGTCTGCTGAAATTATTCAAAGTAGCTAATCCTGAAGCCGCTTATGCTGCCTTTCCCTTTCACTCCCACGGAAACCACAATACAGGTGCCTGCACACTTTTCCCTCTCTCCTCGGCTATCATGCTGGCATTTCCCACAGAGCCCCTCAGTGTGGTGCCACCTGTCTTTAGGTAATTGTGAGTTAAAAACATATCCCCTCATGTTCTTAGGCAGGGATAGTCATTTCCTCGCCTGTGTGTTTTATCATACCTGAGAAACAAATTTGAATACCTTTAAAACAATGGAATGTGTCAGTACTTTTGGTAAAATGCACATAAAAGTGAATAGGTTTAATTTATAGACCTATATAGAAGAAAACAAAGGCCAAATATTCTGCAACATTAGCTTCAGGAGGTCTCTGGGGCTTCCACTACAGCGGCAAGGGAAGCAAAACCGACGCTAAACAAGTGGGACAATGTCAAATTAAAAAGCTTCTGCACGGCGAAAGGAACTATTACTAAAGCAAAGGGAATTTTTAATTTCTATTGACTGGGAGAATATATTTGCATATCTTACATCTGACAAGAAACTAATATTCAAGATCTACAGAGAGTTCTCATACAATTCAACAACAGGAGAACAAAAAACTCATTAAAAAAAAAAAAAAGGGCAGAAGAGGCACATAGACACTTCTCCCAAGAGATACAGGTGGTCAACAGACACATAAAAAATGTTCAACATTACTTGTCATCAGGAAAAAGCAAATCAAAACCACAATGAGATACCACCTCACACCTGCAAGAATGGTCCATATCAAAAAGACCAGTAACAAGTATTGGTGAGGGTACAGAGAAAAAGGAACCCTCCTATACGGTGTTAGGAATGTAGACCAGTCCATCCTTTAGGAAAACAGTGTGGAGGTTTCTCAAAACATTAAAAACAGATCCATCATATGATCCTGCAATTCCTTTCCTAGGTATAGAGCCAAAGAATGCAAAGACACTAATTTGATGGGATATATACCCTTCCATATTCACTGCAGCACTATTTACAATAGCCAAGTTATAGAAACAATCTAAGTATCGACTACAAAGGAGAGGATAAAGATGTGGTGTATATATACAATGGAATACTACTCAGCTATAAAAATGAAGAAAGCTTGCCATTTGTAATAACATGGATGAAAATGCAGGAGATCATACTAAGCAAAGTTAGTAAAAGAAGAAAGGGGCCTCCCTGGTGGTGCAAGGGGTTAAAGTGCAGCACTATGAAGGATGACCTGAAGACATGGCTGATACCATTTATATGAAATGTCCAAACACAGACACAAAATTCACAAACACAAAGTAGACTGGGGAGGGTTCCCTGGTGTAAAGGGGTTAACTCTCAGCACTATGAAGCTATCCACAGCCACAGCAGCTGGAGTTAGAACCCCAGCCAGGGAGGTGACCCACATGGTATAGTAGACCTCTTTGACCCGCCAGCTGCTCCCCTCGGCAGTGTATTTCAGTTAGCCCACGTATTCTGCTCCCCACTCTGTCTCTGGTGAATCTTCTCACCCCCTACACCTCTGGCCTATACCCCAGTTCGTGTATGCATAAATAAATAAATCTTTTTAAAAAAAAAAATAAGAAAAAGGACAAATACTGAATGATTTTACACCTTTGGGGAATATAAAAAACAAAATAAAGGAACAGACAAAAACAAACCAGGACAGATCATGAAACCCAATGTAACACTGAGAGAGAAAGTGGGGATAGAAGCAAAGTGGGGAGGGGGCCTAATGGACTATGGTGGAAGATTATCAGGGCTTTGATGATGGGCGTGGGGTGATAATATACATTTATAGATTTGTAGAGGTGTGAATCTATATCCCTAAAACATATACAGTGTTGTAAAACAATGTCACATCAATAAACATAATTAGAAAAAAAATATTTGCTTAGACAGGAAAAACAATTAGGCCTCAACTATGGCCAGGGCTTTCTGCTATGCTTTTATTTTAATTGGCGTGGATTCTGGCTAGCTCACCCCTCACTCTACATGAAGGCTCCTTTTTTAACTTCGATGTATAAACAGCAAAGTAAATGTAAAAAAGGTATGAATCTTACCTTATATTTATGCAAAATCTCTTTGGTGAAACCATACCTGGAAAAAAAAGAGAGATTTTTTATTACTTTTTAAAGATTTATTTTTACTTATACATACAAGAATTGGGGTGTAGGCCCAGAGGTGTGAGGAGTGAGAGGACCCATTAGAGACAGAATAGGGAGAAGAAAAGGGGAGCAGTGCGCGAGACAGAAGAAGTCTCCTGCACCATGTGGGTCAGCTCCCAGGCGGGGAAGGAATTCATGCTGCAGTGGTTGGTGATAGCTAGACAGTGAGACTTTAACCCCTGTGCCACCAAGGAGGTCCCACAATAGGATTTAAAATATACAATTAAATGTTGATGATTCTTACTACATGAGCTAGGCAAAAAGAAAGCCCTGGACATCTAGTTATCACAGTATCTAGCTCAAGTAACTAGACTTCAGTGGCAACTGACGACTACTTATTCATGTCTTTGTTCAGTATGATGAGAATGAACAAAAGCAGTCAATGACATCATCCCTATCCTCAAAGAGCTTATAGTATAATTAGGGAAAGAAGATACATTTTCATAAAACAATTACAAGACAACTTAAGAAATGTGGTGGGCATAGGGTGTGTACATGCAAGTGTTCAGAGAAGTGTGCAGTTGCAGCTGGGAGAAACTGAGAGAGAATGCCTTTCAGTGGGGATCTCTCAGGCTGCCTCTTTTTTTTTTTTTTTTAAGATTCATTTATTTATTCATACAGAACTAGGGTACAGGCCAGAGATGCGGAGGGTGAGAGGATTCACCAGAGACAGAGAGGGGAGCAGCACAGGCAGATCTACGAAGTACACTGCTGAGGGGAGCAGCGGGCGGGTCAGGAGAGGTCTGCCGCGCCATGTGGATCTCCTCCGGGACAGGCGGAAATCGAACTCATGCAGACGTGGCTTAAGCTTCTTAGTGCAGTGCTTTAACCCGCTGCGCCACCAGGGAGGGCCCCAGACTGCCTCTATCTTAAAGTGGATCATGGGATGGAGGATTAGAGAAGACTGAGAAAAAAAGAGTAAAGCCTAGAAGGTAACAAGTTGTCTCTAGTGTCTTTGATACAGTTCACAGAACGGTTTTGAAGACTTTATAGACAGTGTCAGGAATTTTAATGCCTGAATAGTAGTCTTTAAGGAAGATTTAATGAGATGGAAACTTTTTTCAGTAAAAAGTATGCATTCTTAATAACCAGCATGGTAAGGCTAGGACACAGCATACTCACTCCAGATTTCCATGTAAACCACATCATGTCAGGCTTCTACAGCATAACATGTTCTCTGAGAGAAGCCAGTCCTGCATTCACCAAAGGACCTCTCAGGCCTCACCTTTCTTGCCCCCATGAAACACTTAAGGCAGCTGGCAATACCATCCTTCTCAAAAACTTCTTTTCTTGGATTGTGCAACAGTACACTCTCTTGGTTTTCCTCCAACCTGTCTGACTGTCCTGATCGCCCTTGCAAATTCGCTACTACATAAATGCTGATTCATCATACTGAATAGCCATCCAAAGGTGTGTCTTCTCTACTGGATGTAAACTCTACGAGGGCAGAACTGTGTGCTTTGCATTAAATGTCGTACACATAAATATGACCAGCTAAGTGAATAAATGAAAAGATAAATGGCATGCCCAAATAAAAATATTGAGCTATGTTATATATAATGGCCCTTTGATAAAAGGCTTTGGATTTTTTTCTTCATAGTCTTAGCTTTGTGTCCACATTTGATAATCAGAATCAAAACTCTGTAGAGGGGTCAGATGCCAAAACTACCCAAAATACAAAACTAATCAGTTGCTGAGCTTTGCTCAAGATACCCCAGAATACAGGATGAAAAGAAACATGTCATGCATTCTACTGTCCCAGAGCAATTGGTTTCTGTTTTTCATAAAATAAGAAATTAAAAAAAAAACAGAAAAAGAGGGAAAACAGGAAGAGAAGGAGGAGTTGAAGGAGGGGGGAAAGGGAGGGGGGAGAGAAAGGAAAGGGGAACAATGATATATGCTATGCCTGTCAGCAAAAAGTGGTAAATCATTTAACCAGTCTATTCCTCAAATTTCCAGTGAGTCAGATAGTTGAAATGCTATGTCACAGCTGTTCTAAAATATGTTTGTGAACAACTATGCCAGAAGCAATCACCATGTCATAAAAAATGTACACATCACAGAAAAACATAGTATTAGTTTCAGAGACAACATCTGAGGCCAGCCAAAAGAGTAGCAGAAGAATGATTCCTTCTAAGCCTGCTGACAGACTACCACACCTTCGGACCTGGCGCAGCACACCTGCCATGTGAAGGGTGGAAGGAAGAACAGAAATGGAAGACAAGAGAGGAAAGGGACTTCAGAGCAAACGGTACTCAGGTGAGGAAAACAGGAGTAAGAACTGGAGTCTTCCTTGAGATCTTCTTTCACCTCTAACTCTGTGCTAGGAACTACACATGGCAGCATTTTCCAGAGTGGGTAATGAAAGAGGAAATCTAAAAGTCTAGATTACCTTAAGTTCATCATAAAATCTTCATGGTTCCCTCTGTTCAAATGCATGTCATTGGGATAGACAAGAAAAGCTACAAACAGGATCATGAGGATCTCTATGGAATTTTTTCCTCGATCTACAAAATCACCATTAAAAACATACGGGTTGCTTCCTGAGGGGAGACCATTCTGTGGAAAGAGAAAAACAAGCAGTTAAAAGAAAGCACGTTTAAAGTAAGGCTTTGTACTTAATGTCTTGTGACTGTAGTAAAGAGGCTGAGTCAATTCTTCCACTGAGAAAAATCTGCTCATGCCTGAGTGTTTCACTCTTTTAGAGCAGGCATCTCCTTGGAAGTGAAGAATTAGCTTGGGACAGGAAGATGGAGGAAAGGAGGATTACTCATTTTGCCCGCCATCTACTATAAGTTCTCACTGAAAGGAGCTGATGATATTTGTGCTATTAAAAATGGCTGCTCTCTTGGCCCTCCCTGGTGGCGCAGCGGGTTAAAGCACAGCACTGAGAATCTAAAGCCGCTTCCGCATGAGTTTGATTCCCGCCTGCCCCGGAGGAGACCACATGGAGGAGACCACATGGCGTGGCAGACCTCTCCTGACCCGCCCGCTGCTCCCCTCAGCAGTGTACTTCGTTGATCTGCCTGTTCTGTTCCCCACTCTGTCTCTGGTGAAGCCTCTCACCGCCCCTGAGCCTCTGGCCTGTACCCCAGTTCTGTATGCACAAATAAATAAATCTTTAAAAAAAAAAAAAATGGCTGCTCTCATTAAAAAGAAGGTCACTTCTATTCTAGAAAGAATACTAAACTAAGAGCCAAAATTCCATTCAACAGGTCTTACATTTAACTTCCCTGGGCTGTGATTCCCTCAGTTGCAAAAGGGGGATACCAATATGTCTCTCCAGATCAAATGAGAGATTGGATATGACAGGACCCAGGAAAACAAAGAGCTGCGCAGCTGTGAGCAGGGCTGCCATCCCAAGGTCATGCCATGTGTTCAGAGAGATGTGTGTTCTGACTGCTCACTGACCAACTTTTTAGTTGTTAGAAATTTGGATCATCACTCCTGAATATGAGATAATAATTTTAAAACACATTGTTAGCATGTAAAAGAACTGGGATCAGGTCAAACGTAAGGTCTTCATAACAGCTATTGATTTGTTTGCTTCTATGCTACTAAACTCTAAGATATGAGACATAGCAGCAAGGTTACATTTTCTCAATATTTTGCCTGCCAGGGAAATGGTGGAGTCTATGGCACAGTAAGATAAATGCAAGTGCTTAAAAAGTACCTTGCAAAAGAAAAAAAAATAAGGTACTCATTTCCAAGTGTATGTCCTCTTTCAAAAAAGTTACTTTTGGGAAATAATATACACTTCTAGTTACACTAATCTTTCACAAGCTATTTTCAAATTCCTCTTTTGTTAGATTTCAGGTTCGATAAGAAAATTTTATTAATTTATTATACTCAGTAGCCCAGAATTTACATACATTTTAAGTTGTTCAAATCAATATAATGAGTTAAAAACATATAACTTAGGATTCCAAAAATCATTATGCAATTTAATAGGTGAGGAAGACAATTGGAAACAAATCAGCAAGCCTTGTATAATGTTCCTGTCCAGAGAACAGAAGACTTGCTCTCAAGTGCAGCTGCACTATTACCCAGTTGTGCCTGGACAAGTTAATATTCACGAGTTACAGTTTTCTTATCTGTAAGATGGGGATCTAACTTTCACACTTACCAGACAGGGCTTCATTGAAATTCAAGTGAGATTATGTATACAAAATTGCATGAAAACCATAAAGCACCTTATAAACTGAGATTCATTTTATTATTGTTATTTCTGACTTGAACATCCTGTAATTCTTATATGCTAGTTTTCCTATATGCTATACATTTTCCTATATGCTAATTCATATAATCTCACCTATACTGGGCTGAGAGTGTGCGAACGAGCTGCAAAAACATAGGCTATTCCTTATCAAAACTTGAAGAAAGGGGAAGGATTCTGCAACTCTAACACTCTTCATTTCCCCAGCCTTCTGCTGGCTGGGATGAGTAAACTGGAGCAGTGTGCGGGTGTCAGAAGGCACAGGCTATGGCAGGATGTACAGGCCTGAAGGGGGACAGAGGAGCAGCAGCAGAGAGCCCTACAGTGAGAACATGGAAGAATTAGACCTGGGGGGCCCCTCGGACTTAGTGATTAAAGGGAACCACACCCCTCAGCAGATGCATGCTCCAGGTTGGGGGACAGAGCTGTATCTTACTGAAATAAATACAGGAGAACTTCTTTATATCTCTGAAGCCAAAAGAACAATAACACTGGCATTTAGGGGCACCTAGGAACATAGAGACTTCCTCTTACACTCTTGATGCAGAAGTAAAAACTATCGTGCTTCTGACTATGGAGACGCTTAACCTAGCTTAAGCAAGATACAGAAAATGGAAATAACCTTTCTACTTAATGAGATCCAGTAACCGGAGAGAGGTAGATGAATCAAATTTGCTAAAATCCTGTCTCCTGATGAGAGAGGAGGAGATAGAGGATAACTTTATTTTTAAAATAATAATAAGAGGGCCAAAAAATAAAGAATGCTAGTAATTCGGCATTAAAAATATGCCACTCAAATTTAAGATATCAACAGACTAGAACTAACTTAAGGAAAGAGTTGCTGAAAAAGTACATTATTGACCTGAAAGAGCAGGCAGATGAAAAATCAGGCTCACAGAGCAAGAAGCAATATGACAGAAATCATGAGGAAATGAGTAAGAAATTAGAGTTTAGAGGCAAGGGGACTGATATGCCAATAATAAGCATCCTGGAATTAGGGAAAAGGAACAGATGGAGAAGAGGCAATAATTACATAAATAAGAGAGGGAATTTTCTATGGTTATAAAAAGACTTCATCTTGAAGTATGAAAGAGCTCATGACTCCCATGCACCATTGATGGAGGAAATAATACCCCATTACCTGGTAGAATTCTTGGAAGTGACCATGCAAAAAGAACAAGTTACAAAGGGCAAAGAATCAGCCTGGCATCAAATTTCTCAGGTACAATAGTGGGAAGAAAAAGGGTGGAAGAATATGTTTAAATTATGAGACTGACGCACTACCTACTGCGCTAACGAGGCACCTAGAATATGTTTAAAGAGAGAAAAGGATATGAACCAAGAATTCAATATTGGCCTAAACATCATTAACTTATTAGTCTGACAGAAAATATTTGCAGATAGGTAAAGTGACCAAATATCACCAATACAAATGTTCTTCAGGACAGAAGAAAGATATATGTGAACAGGTATGATCTAGTACCATGAGAACAAAGAATATGCATTGTTTATTGTGTACTAGACACAGTTTTAGGTGTTAGAAACACAAAAGTAAACATTACAAAGTTCCTGTATTCAAGATTCAGAGAACATAACATCCACATATCTCACACTTGATCTTAGGCAAAAGACCAAGAAGTGATACATCCTCATATCTCAAAGGAAAACATTCAAGGAGATATTCTAACCAAATAACAGCAGTAACGATAAAAAGTTTTTGAGTCATGGAAAGACCAAAAGGAAATAATATAAATGTGAACAACAATCCTCACTTGAATATAAGTAACAGATAAAAGAAACATACTAGAAGTGAAAACCCAATAATGGTCAAGAACTAAAATGATGGCCTGAGCAATAGCTAGGATTTTCAGGGGAGGTAAAGGGAGAAAATAAAAATTCTTTACATATGTCATGTGAATGAAAGGACATCCACGGAAAGTGTGACAATAAGTACATTTCATCTTACATTAGGAGAGAAAGGGGAGCAGTGGAAGCACAAGGCTACCGCTATTTGGGAAATAGACACGCGTACATTATTGTTTAGAAATCTCATGAATGGGAAGATAACCACTTAGGAATCGAGAAGTACAACATAAGTGCCAAAGAAAACAATAATAAAAATGCAGACTACACCAAGCAAAAGCAAAAGAATAATGAAGAAAAAAGGGAAATAAATAATGAATATGAATAAAAGGCAATTTTTCAAAAAATGTCTGCTGCGATACTAACCATGAATACTCAATGTGAATGGGTTAAATCCTTCCACTAAAATACCAAGCTTACCAGACTACATTAAAATATAAACTTCAAGTATAGATAGCTTGTGAGAAACACACATGAAAAAAAAATAAGTGGAGGTTAAAATAAGGTAAATGAAACAAAAAGAAAGCAAAAAAAATTGCAAATGTTAATGATAGACAAAGTAGAATTTAAGATTAAAAGTACTAAACAGGATCACAAATCAACATCACATCATAATAGGCACTTTATGAAAAAGATACAATTCATGAACTTTACTAAATAAGCACAAAAAGTTCTTGCTTCATATATTTAACTAGAGGCAGAAAGAAATTGCTTAAAATATAAAAATAGTGGAGTATTCAGATTAAATTGTTAGTTTAAATAATATTTACAGATTCTTTGAAGCCTAATTTGCTGCCTCTTGAATGTGGGCTGGATTTAGTGATTTGTTTCTGATGAATAGGAAATAAAGCAGAAGTGACAGAGGCAACTTTGACCACTAAGTCCCAAACAGAAGCATGGGCCTGCTCTAGCTCCCATTCTCTCCCTCTCTCTCTGCCATCCTCCCCTCCCCCTCTCCAGCTCCCTGCTCATCTCTCAGGGGAAGGCCAGCTACTACACCAAAAAGACACTCTGGTGCCCTGTGAAGAGGTTCATGTGACTGTTCTGCCAGCAGTCTGCAAGGAAAGCAAGGCTGTGCTGTGGCCACATGAGCCAGCAGGCTGGGGGTGGGGCCGTCCAGCCTCAGTCAACCTTTTAGAGGACTGTGACTCTGGCCCATGAGTTTGTACCTCATGAGAGACCTTAAGCCAGAAGCACCCAAATTTCTGAACCACAAAAATTGTAATATAAGTCACCAACTATTGGGGTAATTTTTACATAGTGGTATGTATATGATACACATAGTTAAACATAACACAAAAGTGAATTTGTAGAACAACTAAATATATAACCAATAAAGTTAATTTAATAGATGTACTAAGAACTTTGCAATCTACAAATAGAGAATACAAGCTTTTTCATATGTCCAAGAAGCCTTTATGAGAATCCATCATGTCTTTCATTTCAAAGAACTCCTTCACAAATTTAAAAGAAGAAACTT